GCCCAGCCCACTCTTGGCCTCCCTTCCATCTTGGCCATGCAGCAGGACCTGACTCCAGAGAGCAGAGCCCACCCGGGTCTGGCTGCTCCTCGGGCCTTTCTGGCCCCTCTTGGTCTCCTTTGCTCCTCCTCTGCCTCCTCCTGCCCTAAATGTGAGCATCCCACAGAGGTCACTCCCGGCGCCCTCCTCGCCCTTTTCCTGTGGCTTCCCCTTTGCCCAGCGTCTGCTTCCCACACCCCCCCTATCCCTTCTCGCCCCCTTCAATTTCCAGGCAGCTACACCAGTGCCTCCCACCATGCTTCACACTCACTTGTTCAGGCTCAGGCACCACTTCCTACCCTGTCTCTCCACCCTTCCCTTCATTTCCACTGTCACCCAAGACTAGAATGCCTGTTTCCTCTCAGACCCACCACCCCGGTACTGCCCCACTCCAACCCCCACCTCTCCCAGACTCTCCTGCCTCTGAGCCACCCACACTGGGTTCCCAAAAACACCTTCATGGAGCACAAGCCCCACCAAACTCACCAGCACCTCCCACTCACTATCCACCTCACAGCCCTGGTGCCTGGCCCTGGCCTTCAAGCTCCTGCATTTACCAATTTACCACCTGAAGCAAGAATTGCTTTAGTCTCCACATCCCTTCTGCTGGGACTGGTCTGTCTTCCTGGAAGGAAGTCAAGGTCATCATGATTCCTTCCCTGTTAGATTTCCTCTCGCTCAAGGCTGGGTTTGTACCTGATGTGTCTTTCTATTCCTCAGTCCTAGCATTATTCCCAATTAAACTCCCCCAGTTCAAATCCTGGCCCCCCATTGGCTGTGACCTTGGGCAGCTTACTTTGTCTCTCTGTGCCTTGGTTTTCCCATCTGTAAAATGGAAGTAATTCCTTACTCATGGGCTATTTTCAGGCTTAAAGGGAATAATAATGCCGGTGAAGCGCTAGTGTGGTATCTGGCACAGAGTAAACAGTCTACTCTTGCTTCGGGTGGTAAAAACTGATGACTATTGTCAGTTTTTGAGTGAATGGCCAACCTCTGTCACCATCCGTTTCAGAGTGGAGGAAGCCTAAGGGAGAAGAGCCATTGAAATCCTCTGGTTTTGAGCATGCGCCCTCAGTGAGCGCTCTCTGTAGAAATGCTTGTGCTGTAGACTAGAGCAGTGGTCGACAAACCACGGCTTGCAAGCCACATGCGGCTCTTTGGCCCCTTGAGTGGCTCTTCCACAAAGTACCATGTGTGGGCACGCATGTACAGTGTGATTGAAACTTCGTGGCCCATGGGCAGAAGTCGGTTTTTGGCCTGGGTGAGTCTATTTTGAAGAAGTGGCATTAGAAGAAGTTGGGGTACATTCGCTGAGGTCGACCCCTCAGATTCATGACGTTTTTGAAAAGGCCAGCTTAGGAGTACCCTAATTAAGTTAATAACAATGTACCTACCTATATAATTTAAGTTTAAAGAATTTGGCTCTCAAAAGAAATTTCAATCGTTGTACTGTTGATATTTGGCTCTGTTGACTAATGAGTTTGCAGACCACTGGACTAGAGGAAGGACCCTCAGATTTGGACGTGGTTATTTGAATGATCAGTGGTATGTATTGAGCCCCTGCTGTATACAGAATGATGCAAAACTCAGTCATCCCTGGCCTTAAGAAATGTACCTTTTCTGAGAACAACAGGGAAAACCTGAAATGGCAGAGAATAATTGGGGGACAATGTGCATCAAGGGGTGACATGAAGACAAGGGGATTGGACCGCACCCACGCTCGGCTGCTGTGCTGGGTGTGCCGCCAACATCAGGGTCCACCCAGCAGCATCTCTGCGCTACAGAATCACAGGCGCTATCCTACCTGATGCCGGGTGATGGCATGTAAAGGGCCGTTTGGGGCTCTCCCGGAAGAGGTAGTTTTAAGGCAGAAGGTTCCCAGGAAGCTCAGCCAATCCC